ACAAACAACAGTGCAGAGACACTTGAACACATGATTTATCGTGACAGTTTTTATATATAATAAATTATCCTACAAGTGACGATGACTGAATGAATGCTGTACACTCATATCCTGCCTTGTATCAAAATGTTTTATTCTCGAAAGGACATATTACAGTGTAGCCGAACTGGTTTGGCAGGTATTATCTTGTATGCATGTTCTGAACACATGGTTACTAATGGTGTTAATATTACATTGCCAGTATCTATATATTCTTGTACCCTGTGTAAAAAGAGATTAAAGAGGATTGATGTGTAGAACAAAAGCCCCTTTATTGGATCTACTCGGCCTCAATTCATGGTAGTTTTATCGTGTCATGTCTGTTTACTTTTGGTGGTTGTCATAGATGCGACTGAATCAATAAAAGCCTAACCCAGTTAGGAAAAAACTCAAGTTTCCTCATAATCCACATGAAACAAAGACTCGGGTGTCCACTTCATGAAGCTCATTCAGATTATAGTGAAGAATACATTTTTTTTGATGGTATGGTAGATTGGGTTTTGAATGTTCTGCCACAAGGAAATAGAGCACACTGAAAACATGTGTAGTGTAGTGTTTCCATATCTTGATTAGCAAAGACCAGCCGGACTGAAATACCTTTGTGTCCCATCCTCAATCCACTGGGCTACAAGTAATAACTGGCTGCAAAACTGATTAAAACATAATGATAATCTTATTTGCAGTCATACTCCTGGGGATGTGTGTGACTCTAGGGGTGAACTCAACAGATTAAGTCCCCGGTTGATGGAACAGAGAGGCATTGTGTCATGATCAATTTGCCAATTATATATAAAGCATCCTGCTGCAGAACAGAGGTATTAGGCTCTAGTTTTTTCATACATACCGGTATTATGTACCGCCATGTCATAACAGGACTGCAATGTTGTTAAATCTGAATGTAACCACAGAGGCATTTAGCCACCCAGGCAGTTCTTGCCTTGAAGAAATAAGATGAAATGATTCCCTGTAAATGACATGACATTACGGTAAAAGAATACAGCATAATTCCATAGTAAGGAGAAGGTGTGCATGTCTGGCTTTGTCAGTCATCAGTGAGCTGATTGGTCCAGGCTGCCAGCCGAGTGTTTAAGTGTTGGTGGTGATGAGCACAGCGTTCCTGTCATTAAGCTAATGAAGGGCAGACCTGCAGGTGTGAACTGCCTCAGCAGGCGGCCTCAGTCCAACATCAATTACTCCTTCACACATAAACACACACGGGGGTAAGGGACTATAGCATATTCCTGCTGCTGCTTCCTGTACTGGGTGCAGACACATTGATTAAGCACAAATGGAAAGTCGATTAAGAACCAATTGACCGGCCTGCATGCGTGCATCACAGTTTAATGTGTGGGCGCAGAGGTGATGCCACATTCTTGATTGAGCATCTCTGAGCTCCACGTTGTCAATAATTGGAGCTGATGAATATCTTGGCTCCTGTGGCATCTGGTCGATTATGAAAACTCTGAAATGCAGCAGGCGAAAGAGCATTGTTACGTATCCGTCTATAAGTGTAGGTCTCAGGCGGCTGAAATCTGATGGAATCAGAAAATAATGCTTACGGTAATTCTGGGACTTTGATGATTTGTTGGATCTATATTGTATGATGATAGTCTGTTTCAATGACTTGGGACTAGACTTGTAGACTCTACTGCCCCCTTATGGTAAAAAAGTAACTTGACACTTACAGGAGAGGTTATGTGACTTAAAGGCAAAATACAGGAGTCCTGCCTTTATGTATTAATACATCCTACTTTTTTTTTTTTTACAAATAAGACAATATTAAGCAACATTTAAAACACAAGGAGAGCTAGGAGTTCAATGTCATGCAAAACATACTTATATCTACTGATTGACAGGCCTGTTAAGCTCATCCCATTTCCATATGCTGTGCCCAGTTACAGGCAAACAGGGTGACAGTGTTCACTGGGTCAATACTGAGTGATGTGAGCTCTCAATTGTCCTTTGTTTTCGTCACCGATCCATTTCCCTTTCTATCTCAGGCCAAACAGGAGGAGCTGGAGGAGTTGAATAAGGAGCTGAGGCAGTGTAACCTGCAGCAGTTCATTCAACAGACAGGTGTGCTGCCAGCGCACACACACTCACGCACAGAGCTTCAGGAGCAACTGGAGCAGTTAGAACTGGCACATCTTCTGCACGATGGATACAGGAACGGAAGTATGGAAACAAATTACATTTCAGCATTGTATACTCTGCTAGATGATGTGCCCTCTAAACACATTTCTGTGTCTCCGCCAGGCTACGACGTAACTCAACTGGAATCGCCGCCTCGCCCCACTGCCAAACAATTCCTGGGACATCCACGCAACCTGCAAAACCCTTTAGTGTCCAGTCTCAACCCTGAGGGTGTGTATGTGTGAGACCCTCCATCCCGCTCTGCTCCTCTCCTGCCCGTCCCCTGGTCCCTGAGCCCCTTGCCCCCCACTCTTTCTACCCCAGCTTGTTTGGGTGTAAGGCTTCATCTGCCGTTTTTGGTTTTGGGTGATGGAAGCATCTGTTTGGTGGAGGTCGCTGCTAATTATTTTGCCTCTTTCCTGTGCTCTACCTTTTTAAAGACTAAAATACTTCTTCTCTGCCCCTAACCCTCAGTCTTCTGCTGATTCCCATCTCGTTTTTAACAGCTGACTTAACACATTCCTTCTTTGAATTTTCTCACATAATTCTGTGGGTCTACTTATCCTTTTTTAGTTGTCTCTACTCCCCGCCTTCCTCCTCTCTCACTGCTTTCGGACTAACATACGCTTCTTTCTTTATACTTTAATACATCTGGGAACTTTCTCCTATCTATCCCCCTCTGTAAAACAGAGCGGCCTTCCCACCTTCAAGTAAACACTCATCTACCGACAGCCACTTTTTCGCCGTATCTCCATGTAACAAATCAATCACCGCACTGGGAATGACTGTAGCAGACATTCTGATTGTAGCGCTGTTTTTATACTGTGACATGGAATGATATGAGACAAATGCCATTTCAGTTTGCCTTTTATGTATGGATACTATTTATATGTGAGGTGGGGTGTATCTATACAATGCCTTGTACTTTGGTGACACTTAACTTCCAAAGAGCAAGAGCCTTTTCACGAAAGGGCTCTGCAAAATGTATTGCACTGTCCCATTCTCTTCCTGTGTGAAGCCTTGGCCCTATTTGCCTGCAGAGAAATGTATCCTTCTAATCTCGTTCTGCTCCAAAACTATTTTATTTGACAAGCTTATAGCCTTTGCCAGTCTATTTTTGTCACGCTCCCTGCTAAAACAAGGGATACATTTCACAAGTAGCGCAACAAGGCCATGGTTTGTTACGATATCTTTCTTTTCCTCCTGTGGGATGGATGCGCCTGGTTCTTTTTGCTGCCATTCCACCGAACATTTGACCTGTCATAACTTGTGTTGTGCCTCAGTGTACTAAAACATAGTATGAGCTTACTTTCATAAGCACTTATAACAAACATCAAGCGAACATGAGCTGCTGTTTCCAGTGCTTTTGATGTCTCTATTATAAACAATACTGGTGTCCAGAAAGGACCCTCCAAACCACCTCAAGCAGTATTTACCTTATCATAGCACTTAGCATATCTTTATGGCTCACTGACAGGTCAAAGTGACGTGTGCACTCTCTCCTTATTGTCTACAGTGTGGTGTTTTCTTTGGGGGATTATATTCAATCCTTGCTTAAAACTACATCTTAATGTTTTCTTAAAAAACAATTCTGTCAATGCTGACTACAAGACTTCAGTTATGGTCCACAGCCCTCTGCTGGTAAAATAACTGGTCTTGTGTCAGCTAATGCTTTTTATGTGTGAATTTCTGGAGTGACCCCCAGTCGCTCCTGCTGTGTCTTAGCTATACAATGTTTAATAAACAAAGGGATCATCATCCCCACTTATTTTTGTGTGTCTTGCAGTCCTGACATCCCGAGAGTCGTCATGGAGATAAAACATGGACCGCAGGGCCAAAGGAGTTGTTCACTGTTCTGTCACCGTCACCTCTTATCAAACTCCTTTGTTTGTAATTCATTATTTAATCGAATATGATATACATACTGTATATACATAAGACAAATATATTTGAGATTTGCTACTGTAAACACTGCAAAGTATCTGTATGAAATGTAAAATAATTTAGAAACCTTTTACCTAGAGCAATTATTACTATGAGTGTATTTAAATATAATAAAAATGTGCATTGTGTATAAGATAATATTTCGTCAAGTTTTATTATGCCCTGTTCAGGAAGTCAAATGTCCTCGTAATCATTCTTGTAACTGCAGTAACTGAGAAGAAGGGGCAGTGCTTCTGGAATACTCTGCATTAAATAATTAACACACCAGTGTGCACTTTCTAAAAATGACAGTGCCATGAAGCTCCTATGTGAAATGCATTATGAATATGTTATAGGTACTAAAATATGAATGCTCTCCTCATTACCTCCGGTCCATGGGTCCATCATTTCACAATCATTGCTGTGTGTTTTGAAGCAATTTTTCACAGGTAGCTGATTGAGAGTTCACAAAGTTCATCCTTGGACGCCGAGGGAAATGTGGCAAACATCCTGGTATAGCTGCCCCCGCTGATATGGGTGATGTAACTCAGTATATCTACAAGACATGTGACCATAAAGGCACGAGGGCACTACAGAAGTGAGATCATTTGTGGAAGCTGACAATAAATCTATTGAGTTGTGTATATAATATATATACATTGTTATTGTCATTGTTTTTAAAGTGTATTGTGTGTTTTGCTGTTCAAATAGGGTTAATGTTTTTATTCTTAGAACCAGAAACATTTAGAACATTCTGTAAAAACCCCATTTAAAAAAAAAAATGTTTTGTCTATAAACACACAGTTGCACTTAGTCGGCTACTGCATAACACTTTTGTCCTCCACCCCTTTCCTGTTTGTTTACCCTGGAGAGTAAATATTCTTTCTGTCACACACTGGGTGACGTGAGCCTTCCTTGTGCTCTGGCTAACCCCTGACTGAAACCCTGTGGATTTCTATAAATACCTTATCTGGTCGCACTTGCCTGGTGAAATCCTAAACATGCACATATTTCCCTTTCCATTACACCATATGCACAAATACGGTTTCAAAAATAGATGTCATAAGGTTTCTTCATAGTTAATTTCCACTTTGGGACCTTGTTTACTATGGAGAAGTATGTGAGATCCCTAGTTTAGATATTAGATTAATGATGTACAATTGGATCTTACTTAGAAGATTTGGAGCTGTCTGGCTCCGCAGGGGTTAGATAAACTCCAAATCCTTGTTTCCCTCAGTCTGGACAAGCCCACACCATGGTGCAACTCTGAGCCCTAACTGTACACAGAGTATCAAGGATACTGTACAAACAAGTAAAAAAACAATGTCTTTCTCTTTGTACTTACCCCTATCACATTGATCCTATTATATCAGTCTCACATGCAAAGTGAAATATATCCAACCTCCCCCACTTTCAGATCTAAACCCAGAGGACTCCAATCTCGTAAACAGGACATTAACAGATTATGATGATGCTTCAGGACACCACGCCGAGGGAATTATAAATTCTCATACAATTGCACTCCTTATGAACTCAAGGTTTCGGATTAATCTAAAATGGGTTACAAAGCTAAGCGTTTGACTACCTTTTTTATGAAGTGATTGATGAGCATTTATAAGAAACAGGCAGTGAGTGTCCGGGAAAGAACGTCCTTGTCGTCTGGAGAGTGAACATCTGCACGTCCACATTATAATGATGAATGGGGCCACAAGTTAATGAGTCTGACATACTGCACTTATCTATTCCTCTGTGACACACTTAGAAACAAATGGGTATGAAACGTTCTCACTGATTCTAAAAAATACATTACACACTGTAGTAAAACAGAAAGTAAGATACAGGAAGCCACAATTGGTTGGAGTAGAAACTTTACGTGTCACTTTAAAAATACATTTTACATGTTACAGATACAGATTCTCTTACTTCTAACAAACTTGTAAATGACTGAACATCTAATAATATAAAGTGGTGGACACACTGAAATAAACTTTAGCAGCTTTATGCTTATTTTTGCTTGAGGACCCCCAGGAAACCTCTCCAAGAAGCCAGGTGAAACAGAAACTGCAACAAAACACTCACCAAGAGTCGGCAGTAGGGGGCATTAGAGAGGTCTGCCCTAGGAGGCAAGGCAAAAGCCACTGGCCCTAAATAAAGTACAGTATGTGAACATAGGAGGAAGTAGGCTACAGTACACATGGACACCACTGGGAGGGCAGGCATGTTGAGCAGTACTGTCCCAGCAGTGAACATGGGACATAATGATAGAGGGCTGCTTGTAGATCTACTGTAGGTGTTTTTCTGGTCCGGTGGTGGCTGGACTTTGGCGAGCCAACAAATATGAAGAATTCCCAAAACCAGGTTAGCCGCTGTCACACGCACAGTGGAATTGGCAACTGGCACAATGTGCGTTAGTCAGTGGCTTACCTGCTTTTAGATATCAGATATCATACTGATAAGCATAAGCACACACAATCTGTGGAGTAACAGACAAAGGCTGTGAAATACAACAGTCAAATCAGACACATGAGGTGTGAAATGGAAGACTAGTTTTTCTAGACTATTTTGATCACTTATAGAAATACCGTTATTTAAATTAATCACATTACAAAGATTATATAACAGTTCAATTAAATCGACAATTCTCTTAAACCCTCTTTTGTCCCAAAAATGTAGGCTACTTAAACATTTGAAAATACTGATGGTTCACGATGTCCCGAAACACATTTCACATTGCTTTTAATGTAACTGTCATTAAAAGTTTCACAATAACCAATACATGTGACAATTGTAAATAAATAATTCAAGAAATTGCATCTATGATATGTTGGATGAGATATTTAGAATACATAATAGTGGAAGATAAATGGAGCTACTTACCAGTCCCAAGTTTTCTTTTGGATTAATTTTAAATGAAAAGAACATTTTATTTTCGCCGACAGCACGCCACAAACCATCTATCCGAAGTTCAAAATTGTTTTTTCTCTAAAATAAATCACTGTGCATGGCTTAAGTTAGGTGCATTTTGAGGATAGAGTACAGCGACGCTGAAGTTCAGTTCACTTGCACTATTCCCTACCCTGCCCACTCCCCTGCATCTGCAACCCGACCTGGTTATGCAAATTTGAAAGAAACTAACAACGGGTGCAGCCAATGAGCTGCCGAGTTGAGGTGAAGTAGCCCATCCATTAAAGAGACTCGTCAAATCAAAACCGGAGGGGGGTGGGCTTTATAAGGGCCAGCAAGTTCAACTGATCTGAGAGTTATAGTTGGGGTGCGGCGCGTTCAGTTCTGCACGTCGTACATTAGGAATAAACCATTCTCTCGATAACAGTTTCTTCGCCTTACTGATTATTTATTGCATACAGCAATGCGACGCAGGTTTATTTACCCTTAAATCACATTATCTAATGCTGGAGCTGCGAGTACATGTGGGATAAATGTGCTTTAAGCCGGTTTGACAAATATCACCCCACCCCTACAGTGCAAAGTGGTTGAACTCGGTTTACTTGTGTACAGTGTTGCCATGAGCAGAGTGTGGCTGTGCACGTACCAAGGATGAAGCATGACAGCCTGATCTGATGATGACGACAGGGAGGAGGGCCATTATGATGATTTACACTATTAGCAGAGTGACGGTTTAAGGATTCCTCTACAATTTTAATATTAAATAGTTCACCCTTAAATCTCACATGTACAAAGTTGGGTGCATTAAGACCTTCAATACAGAGGTTTCATTGGAGTGAAAACATTGTTTTGACATCCCAATATAACATTTTGACATCCCAATATAACACATAGGGATAGGTCCACCATATATTGTATTTATATTATAATTGTATTATCAACCATTTCGTCTGGTATATTTATTAAAAAAAAGTCCTCTTTTAGATATGCACAAAAACCTCTCTTCACCAGATTGACCCTCTTGAACTTGTCAGCTGGGACACGATGTTCTTTCTCTGATTCTTGTATATCATCAAGCACCCTTTGGGGTTTAGTTAGGCCTATTCTCAAGATTTCTTCTGACCAGTATTTGTCTGCCAAAACCCTGTCGGATTATTTACAGCAAGGATGCACATAACCCCATAAACTCAAAAATCAGGATTACATTATATTATGTAACAGCTGTTTTGTAATGTAACCAAGACCACTAGGGGGCGACAGTGGCACCTGTTTACGGTATTGGCTCCATGTGGCTTGTGACAGGTGTATTAAAGATTTGATAATAGGCTGATTGAAAAAGTTGACAAGATTATTGAGACCTTAAAGGAAATGTTTTCATTATAATGTAATAAGAAACGGGTACTAAATGTGTAACTTAAACTTTCTTATATGAAATGTGCTATAATAACTATAAATAGCACAACAAATCAGTTAATTATTTGGGTATCACGTGTTAAAATGGTTAAATTAGCTGCTTAAATGTGGTTGTAGTACCAGTATTTGGTCTTTACTCTGATATGCATTAATATTAGGCCTACGTTGACCCTAAAGAAGCGAACACTGTCTCTTTAAGAGTCACAGCCTGAATGCACTCTGCCATTTCCGTCTCTAACCAGCCGGTGGTGTCACTCAACAACCGTGGAGACTTCAGACACTTAAAATCACAACTCACTTTACTGAGTAGGGTAGGTTTGGTTAAAATGATTGTTTAATGCTAAAATATGCAATTTAGATTGTACGGTTTTTGGGAAATGTGTGTAAGTTCCCCTACATAATGTATTGTGCAGACTCCAAGGGAGCTTGCAACGTTAGTTGACATTCGCTAAATGTAGCTATACTGAGGCTAGCTAACACGTTACCCTGAAGCTCATGGTAGTGGCCAGCGACATTTGTTCATTTAGAACAGCGTTAGAGCTTAGTTTCACATTCTTGCTATTGCATATATCTTTAAAATACACATCCAAATATATAATGGGTGCATATTGTATCTACGGCACAGAGGAAGCACTCTGTTAGCTGCGGTGATTTCTTCTTTGTTTACAAATGTAGCCATAGTATAGCGTGCAGGCTGCTCCTAGCTAGCAAGCTAATGCTAGATAACCTTTAACTGTGTGTCTTCTAACAATACAGGTAATGTACAGCATTCGGGAAATGTAAAACTGTTGTTTTTTTACTTTTATAAACTGCTCACGACTTCCAAAATGTCAATCGTGCTTAGTAAGAACATCTCCCTTGGTTTAATGTATCCGTGTACTGTAGTCATTACTGTATTCCAATGACCAAGGGCACATGCTTGAGGATCACTTTCCCTCTCTGCTCAAAGACTCGGCCTGATATCACCTTGTCATTCCATAGAGTCGGTTGATTGTCTTTCCATCATCTCCTGTCCTCTCTGAACAGTGAGTTGATTGGCTTACATGCTACCAAAACACCTCAGTCCTAATGATATTCTTTCAGACCACTTGTGTCATTATTGTTCAAATTCAGCTTGTACAACAGACAATCCCAAACATATTCTGCTATTTAAACACTATCTGCAATTCTGGTCTATCTTCTTAGGATTCCTTCAGAGAAAAGCTGTGTTGCTGTTGAGAAATTGTTCAGCTGATTTTCTGATGGTCAGCCATGGATGAAGATGACAGCCAAGAGGAGCTGATCAACCGCAGTACTTCCAACAGCAAAGGAAAAAGGCCTGCGTTGTGGGCAATCTCAGGTAGCCTGTTTAACATGTTATTTATATATATATAAATAAAGAGAATGAATGAGTAAATGTTTTAATCTAAAGTATACTTTTATTTAACTCCTCATGCATTTGCGTTCCTCTTAGATGACTCGGACAGTGGGGAAGCGGAGTCTGAAGAGGGAGAATCTGAGAGTGGTGAGGAAGAAGAGGATGATCATCTAGGTGGAGGGGATGATAGTGATGATGATGAGGAAGATGATGATGAGGAAGAAGAAGAAGAAGAAGAAGATGGGAATGAAGAGGAAGATGGTACTTGTTATTTCATGTTACAAGATTATCATGTCACTTTTTTTGCTCAACTTATGTTTCTGTTTTAGGTTTATACAGCCCAATAACAAATACATTTAAGTGTAAGCTACTCTGATTCAACTTACACAAGTGTTGTAACTTCAGTAACTTTAGTTTGTCTGTAGAGTTAAAGAGGAAAATGTGCCTCTTCGATATGCACTACACACATGTTGCGTGAAAGAAGTACAAGATTATTTGCTCACGACTTTTCTTTGATGCTGCAGCATCAATGAATAAAGTATGTAAATTGCATTCACAATTTATTTCTACCTACTTTGATCAGATGAGGAAGAAGAGGGAGACGCTAAGGCTGAGGATGGAGCTTTAGTTGGAACCTCTGCTGATCCTGCCGACATGAGCTCGGATGAAGACGCAGATAAATGTCCCATCTGCCTTAACTCCTTCAGCAGCCAGCCTGTCGCAACACCAGAGAACTGCGAGCACTACTTCTGCCTCGACTGCATCCTTGCATGGGCCAAGGTAAGTTATATGAACCCAAGGAGAAAACACTTTGTTATAAAGCACGTTATATATTTTTCTTCCGAGTACATACTTTGCATTTACGAAGCATACATCTTGGAGGAAGTTGAATGGTTCATTCTGACATTTTTGTTTTCTGCCCTTTTAGAATGCAAACTCGTGTCCTGTGGACCGTATTGCCTTCAACAGCATATACTTAAGGAAATGTTATGGAGGCAAAGTAAAGAAAATGGTAAGTGCCTTCATCTTCTGTTAGCATAACTTTTGCAACATGCGTTATGACCCTGAGTCGTTATGTCATTTGTGTATAGATATTTTTCCCTCCTCCTGTGTCTGAGTGTGTGTGTGAGTGAGCAAGAAGGTGGTGCCCGTTAGCTGATTAGCTACCTTCAACCTGCTGATTGGTCCACCTGAAGAAGAGGGGAGCATTTAAGCTGCAGCCATGCAGTTCCTCTGTCGCTCTCTGACACAACTTCTCCTACTCTGCGCGTGTTGAGATCTCTGTCCTGTTGTGCTGTGTACCTACATTTTACCGTATACCGGTCCTTCTCTTCTGCTGTGAGGCTGTAGGAAGAAAATCTGCTAAACCCGTCTTTGTAGACACGATTTATTTTCTCAGGAGAGCAAAACCCTTTTTCTTTTGGATTATTCGTTTTCTCCTGTTTTACGTTAGAGTTGGTAAGAAGCCTCTACGTTTTATTTTTCTCATTTGTTAGTTAAGATTTTTGTGTTAAAGGTTAGTAATGCTTTCTCTGCTTTGGCATCCATGTTCTTGGGAGTGGGAAAAGTGGGGAGAGTGCAACTTTGTGCTGCGCCTAGGTTCCCCTAGGCCTGGGCATAACACATGTAATGACCCCAGTTTAGTCTTTTTAATTTAGGATAATGTTTATGTGGGATTATTTTCTGCTTCAGATCACAGTACAAAAGCCTGTGAAGGAAGGAGTTCAGGAAGTAGTAGATTTGGACCTGGAGCAGACCAGCTGTGAGGCGTGTGGGGGCAGTGACCGTGAGGACCGCCTCTTGCTCTGCGATGGCTGTGATTCTGGGTGAGATAGATATTTTGTGCTAAACTAGAAAAGGCATTGAACAGCGCAGTTCTATACTTCCATAAATGTACAGATAATGTGTGTATCTTTCTTGTGATTTGGAGCTGCTCCAAAGGTCTTGAAAACCTAACCCCTTTCTTGGTGTGTTGAATGTTGTCAGCTTTTGCCTTTATTACAGAAATAAAACCTGCCGCTGGATTTCTTTTTCATCAGAGGTATTTGTTATGCCTTATTCTTCTATAGGTATCACATGGAGTGCCTCACGCCTCCTCTGGACTCTGTTCCTGTGGAGGAATGGTTCTGCCCAGAGTGTGAAGCCACCAACCGTCGCTCAAGTAAACCTTCAAGCCTTCCTAAATTCAATATTCAATGTCTTTGTGGAATTGCTCTTTATTTTTGTAGCTCCTACCAAATGATATTGCAACGAAAACAATCATATAAAAAGGACATGTTAACCTATATCTATTCGTCATATATCAAGTGGCCATTTTTAAGAATTGTTTGCACCATTTAGCATCTTTTTAAATCTTTTTTATTCAGGGGTTTCAGCTGAAGAACTTAGCGACACAGAGAGCCTTCCCTCTACCGCCCGTCCTGCCACCAGTCGCTTCCAGTTCGGTGCTGCAGGTCCCACCAGAGCCATCGCCCGGACACAACAGAGCGAGAGGGTTCGCGCTAATGTCAACCGCCACCGCATCACACAGGCACGCTCCTCACAGGTTTGGCATGAGGCGTAGCGCTTCAGTATTGGCTTATTTATTAACTAACTTATATAGTATAAGCGCAGGCTGGGTTTTTGCGTTTTCATGTTCCACAATGTTTGTTGTTGTGCAAATAAGATTTACTGATTGCATTTGCGACTCATTTGGTGTGTGTTTGGATAATGTTATTTAGTGCTTCTTAGAGGAGAAATGATGGCATGAGTTTTTGAAGGGTGTTGTCAATTTGATTTGTGATTTGAAATGCTTGTGCATGTGTTTTGTAGTTGTAATTATAAATAATGGGTTGTCAAAGTGAACCAATGGAGTGCTGCAAACCTTTTTCTTCCTAGTTGGCTCCCACCTTTCTCATCCAGTCCACTTGGCTCGATGACACTATTAACGCTGTGGTGGCTGGGCTCAACACGGCTGTGTATATACGGGACTTCACCCCCCGCCCCCCAACTACCCACAGGCGCAAGACCAGTAAGTAATCACACACATACAATTTCACAACAGTTTTTTTCTCACATATTTAAACACAGAAAAATATTTAGCAGAGAGAAAAGCAGGAAATAGTGATGAAGCCGTGATCATTTAAATGTTACTGTTTTAACAGGGAAGCGCAGGAAGGTGCGAAGAAAGACGACATCTTCTGCCAAAAGTAAAACGGGCAAAGCAGCAACTACAGGAGTGAAGAGGAGGAAACGGAGAGTGAGGAGGACTAAATCCAGAAGAAGGGTGAGTTTGTCATCAACATTTGTTGTTAACTGGAGGTTAATGTAATTTTGTTTTTTTACATTTTCAGAAGAGTATAAATTAGGGCTGTCAAGTTAACGCGTTAATAACAGCAATTTTTTTTTAGCACCACTAATTATTTTAACGTGCGTTAACGCACGTGTATTTGTCCTCGGCCCGCCCTGTAGTTTCAGAGCCCAAAGGCTTGAAGTTGTTGTTGTTGTTGTTGTTAGTTGGATGGTGGGAGATTCTAGCGAGGGATATGGATACAAAAAAAGGTGTTTTAAGCAGCAAGCCAAGCACACAGCTGATGCTGACAGTCCCGCTCCTGCCGCTCGCTTGCGGCAGACCACTCTTGAAAGTTTGCCGGGGAGTCGCCTGGACACGGCGTCTACGAGCAGCAACCTCTCAACAGCGATGGCTAAATGGGTGGCTAAAGCTTGCAGGACAATTAACATTGTGGAGGACGAGGGAATGTGTGAGATAATTCGGATCGCATCCAAAGTGTCGACTGCACATCACAGCGCATTATTTTGACCCTAGGGGGGAACTTCAGTCTCATGCTTTGACTGAAGATGAAGACAGAGGAGCGGCATTTCGTCTGTTTGAGCCAGTGGCTCAGGGCAAAGAAGTACACAGGGTTGGGAGAGAGTGTAAGAGAGAGAGAGAGAGGTCCCAGGTTGTTGTATTGAAAATATTCAGGAGAATATTTGTCATTGTTCCAATGATAATAAAGCATATTTGTCCACTCATATGTTGAAAAATATTCCTCTAAGGTACATTTAGAACAGATACAAAATGTGCGATTCATTTGCGATTAACTATGGACATCATGCGATTTAAATATTTGAATCGACTGACAGCCCTAGTATAAATACAATTATTTATTCCTCTTGAATCTGTCAGTTGATTTTTCTCTAAATAAACTATACCTGTGATTTCCTGCTAGATCGTGAAAAAGCCAGCCACTGCTCGAAGCCGTATTGCTAATACTCTCCGAATTGTAAAGGACAAAAAGGGTTCTTCGCTTCCTTCAGTGTATCGGCCAGCAGAGAACACGCTAAGCAACATGCGTGCTGACATCGGTGCTGCATCTCTCTCTATCCACGGGGATCAATACGACCTGGATCCATTATCGGAACGGTAAGAAGAAGTCTTGTGCCTATTGTACTGCTGACACAAATACCATTTTACAGACTTCAAATATTTCTCATTGGTATGACTAGGTCTTGGCCGGCAATATCATAAACCTTTATATGTGTTTCTAACCTATTAAAGTATATAACACCTAATAGTTGGCTAGTTCTTCAGAGTGTAACTGTACATAGCTAAGCATATGCTATTTTAATTATCAAGCTAATAGTGCATTGCATTATTCATTTGACCAGTGAGGAGGTGGAGCAGCAGGCCCGCGTCACATCGCTGTTGGAGGCCAAGAGACGAGGGATCTCTCGCTCTGCTCTGCGCTCTCACCAGCCTGTAGCTCGACCCGTCACTGCAGGCCATTCCAGGTAACACCCCCCTCTAACCATGATGTGTAAGGGTTGTTGTTTTGAACAGCTCCTGATTCTGAACTTCTGATTTTGAGTAACATGTTTTTGCTCATCAATCTCTACAATTGTACACGTTGAACATGTGGATGACATACATGCAGTGGCAGCTGGTCAATGGAGGGTGCTAGGGTGCCGCCTTCCCTTCCTCCCCAGTGGAACGTTTTTCTTTTTATCAAATAAAATGTTGTATATTAAAAAAATTAAATGTAACTAATTATCCTCAGAATGTATGGGTTTAAATGTACAATAATGTTTAATATATATATATATATATATCATCTAAACCACTATTACAGTATGTTTGATTACCCTCTCTCGCCTTTGTACAACCCCATCAGTGAAGGCTCCCCTGAAGTGCCAGTCAGATACTTTGAATCTGTTGATAAGTCTTCTCATATTTTAAAGCCTACATTTCCTTCCGGGTAATCATACCTTCTAGAATTGCTCGGTTACCGTCTTCCACAGCCCCACCTAATATTACATAGATGGCATTACATGATAGAAAATGCACAAATCACTGCTTTTTTTTATGACAATTTATGTTTATTTTATGTAATTCTTTAATGCAAATCTAATGTTGTTTTACTTAAAAATATTTTGGTTTAATCTCTCTGTGTTTTGCTAAGAACCAAAAATGATGAGTACATTAAAAAAAAAAAAAAACTGAAATTATTAAACAACAAATCCAAACATTACTTATGTGCATCATGACAGTGACCTTAATTTCTTATATATGTAATATATCGGGTGTTTTGAATGTTTTTATCATCACAATGGTATCTAGCTTGAAATATGATCTAATTTAAGGATTTGCTTTGCTACACCAGGAGAGGTATGGACGTTCCCCAATCAGCGGGTTTTGTTGAGGCGGCTCCTGTGCCCGACCTCCTGGGAAGCATCCTATCAGGACAAAGCGTCCTCTTGATGAACAGCTGTGATGTCGTTATCAATCGAGATGGTTCCCTTAAAGCAACAAAGTCATGTAAGTGTGTGGCACACAGCAAGACCAAAGATCACACAGTGTACTCACTGTGTTGCTGTTGATGAATGTTCCAGTTTGCCCGAACTCTGACGTGAATAACATTCAGATTCAATGGTTTCATTATCATATGCAAAGTAGCTACAGTGTAGTTATGGCAATGAAAATCTTAGGTCCCGAGCTCCTCCGACAATGCAACATATTATTATAGGACATAAGACTAATATAATAATATAAAAATAGTGCAAATGAAACAGTATAATACATTTGAAGAAAATAGTGCAGGTGAAAGAAACAGAATGTAAGGTTAAATATTGTACAGTGAAATACAATCAAATACTGTTTGATCCAGTGATAAGTATTAAGATAATACATTAAATACATTCTAAGATGCAACCAGATGAATGCTTTGGGTTATTGAGCACTTAAAGGTGGGGTAGGTAAGAATGGGGAAACCAGCTCGAGTGCATCATGTCATTGCTATCGGGATGTTAAGAGCATTCCATGGAATATAACAAAAAGTTGTCTGAAGTGAATTAACTACCCCACCTTTAACAGAGCTCAGGCGTTTAGCAGTCTTATGGCCTGTGGGATGAAACTGTCCCAGAGTCTGGTGGTTTTAGTCCTGATTCTGCGGTACCACCTGCCAGACGGCAACAGACAGAACAGCTTGTTGCTGGGGTGATGGGGGGGGGGTCTTTTATAATCCTGATGTGAATAACTAATGTGAGCTGTGTACAGTCTAAGCAAAGCAATAATTGAATTCTTAATATGTGTTTTTTTAAATTGTTTTTGTGTTGCAGTAATGCAATCTGAGTTAAACCCAGGCCACAGCAACGACAACAGCTCAGGAGATGCCAGCACCCAGATCAGCCCAATGATGTCCCCCAACCAAGGAGACAGTTCTCCGTCCCTCCCCTACAATGTAGACCAACCAGGATCCTCCCACAGTTACACGAACAGACCTCTATCCCAGAGCTCCTCTCACTTACCCCTCCACACGCCCCTGCAGACCGGCCAGATCCGACCATCTTCTCAGCTTCCTCTTCCGATCAGACCCACGCACCCCCACGGTCATCAGAGAAGCAACGGAGCCCCCAGCCCCTCCCTAAGCACCAAGAGCAAGGAGATGGCTTCATCACAATCCCAAAAAGCACCCGCAAAGCCCATGTGGGTAGATGTGTCAGTGCTTCCTAGGATACCAAAAATCAAAAGGGAGAGCGGTGATGTCACAAATAATGGCACCAATCAAGATGTCCGTGATCGTAGCAGCAGCAGCAGTAGTAGTAGGGGAAGCAGTAGCAATTCCACCACCAGTCGTCATGGTCACAGCCTGCCAGAAACGGGCATGAACAGTCTTGCTGGGGACAGGGGACGGCAGCAAAGTGTAGACCAGCAGAAGGGCCGGGCCGAGGGTCAGAGGCAGACGCCCGAGGGACCTGGCTCTTCCTCCGCCTTCTCCAACTCGTTCTCCTCCTCTTCCTCCTCCTCCATGGGCTCTTCTGCCAGCCAGTCTCGTTATTCCTCGTCGGCATCATCCTCGTCATCGGTGAGTTTCCGCATTAACACAAGTGGGAACACGTGGCAGCCGAGGCAGGTAGGCAGCTCGTCACTTCCTGTCGCTGGAAGCAGTACGCAGCCGACCCGGGCACAAAAGGAAAACGAAGCCAAAAAGAGACAGCTGCACAGAGATAAACAGAAGCTGCTGGCATCGCGTACAGCGGTCAAACAGGAAGAAAGCAGCGATACTATCTACGATCCTTTTGATCCCACTCTGTCAGACTCGAGCAGCTCAGACAACGAAGCTGAGAGCGCAAGACTGCATGGAAGCTGCCAGAATGCAACACATGAGGAGAAAGCTTCTAGTTTAGTAAAGAAGAGTCAAAGGCAGCAGGACCTGGTGACTGTCAAAACCGAATCACAGGACATTGAGGTCTCACAGGAAGAACCAATGAGAGCTGACGCTCAGGAATCCACATCCCAGGAAGTCAGATTCTCAGAAACATATGTCAAGGTAGAAACAAAATCAAGACTAATAGATATGAAGTCTGAGAAAACAACATCGTTACTAGCCTCTAAAGTTAAGATAGAACTAGGGTTGGTTGATGCAGGGGGAGCTGAAATAATTGGTAGCAGCGTTGAAAGTGAAAAGACAGAAGACACCTCACCACCTGTCCAACACAGACTGGATCTCTTCAAGACTAAGAGAGAAGAGGAGAGTGCACAGAGGGCTGTCACTCCTAACACTGCTCCTCGAGATCCATCAGCATCTAGCTCTACTCCCATTAAGAAGGAACAAAAGCCGGAAACTAAATCTGACTCTAAGTCCTCTCACAAGTCAAGAGATTTGGGCCAAAAGAAGAAGACCTTCCAAGCTTCGAAGGAGAGGCGCTCTAAAAGTCCAGAGACAGACCGAGGGAAGAGGGGAGACCGCCAGGCATCAGGCCCAGGAGGCAGACAAAAGGAAAAGAGTTCCAGACGGTCCAGGTCCAGAGAGAGGACTGGTGCACACTCAGTCTCTGAAAGCTCTCAGTCCCCTGTGAGGAAACGCCCAAAGAGACAGCGATCCTGCTCCCAATCCAAAGAGAGGAGGAGATCTAGGTAAATATGTCACACTTTGTCCAATATATTGCTTGTATCAAATATGTAGTTGTTGCTGTTTGACGTGGTTTGCTTCTGTTAAGGGTTTTTGTCTCTCGTCACTGATCTTAGGTCTGGTTCTGGATCTAGCAGCAGAGAGCGTTCCAGAAAGAAGAAGCCTTTACAAAGGAGCAAGGAGAGAAGTGATGGCAGAGATCGAGACAGTGACAGAGGCCGAGAGTCGAAGGACAAGAGACGCGGTCGGGGTCGCTCACGTTCACGGTCGAAATCACGGTCCAGATCCGTATCCAGGGAACGGAAGAAGGGTCACACACGACTGCCACAGCCATCGCTCTCCTCCAAAGACAAGGAGGACTCTCGATCAAAAGACAAGATGAGACGCAGGTCCAGATCCAGCTCAAGAGAGAAAAGGAAAGAAGAAGGGTCTTCATCCAAGAGCGCTCAGAGGACTTCAGGGTCCCGCGTTTCGTCCTCTAAAGACACGAAACGCTCACAAGACAGGAAAAAAGCAAAGGATACACCTATAAGTTCCATCATAGAGGAACACGTTGCCCCAGTGATCAAACAAAAGACTCCCTCCCATACTCCTGCCTCTGAAATGACAAAGAAAGACCCTAAGGTAGAGAGCCAGGACACAACGGCGGGAAAAGCTACAGAGATCAAGGTTGAAAAAGAAATGAAGAAAGAAAAGCGACCATCTCTTGATATGTTTGAAGATGTGTTTTCTATTAGTGAACAGATTAAGAAAGAAGAATCTGACATCCATGCTTTCATGGTGGCCAAAAGCATGGATGAGAAGGGGAAAAAAGAAGACCCCATCAAGACGGAGAAGTGTAAAATCCCCATTATTAAATCTGAGCCAAGTTCCCCTACATTATGCCATTCACCCCCTCCCCCCTTATCCTCCTCACTGACCACACCTGTCCCAGCAGACAGTCTCCAGGATACAGTGTCTGACCCAGAGTTAACGGCCTCCAGTGAACAACCAGACTCTGTGAAGCAGGAAGTCCAGGAGCCCTCGGACTCTGATGATGACTTTAATGTCGATGTGATGCTGGACAGCCTGGACTATGTGAAGACGGAGCGCTCAGAGGAGAGCGGTGCATCCGTCAAACAGGAGGGGGAGGAGGAGGAGGAGGAGGAGGGGAAGAGCGAACAGATATCGACCGTAGCCAAATCCAAGACTCAGGGGAAGAGGGTCACCTGGAATATACAGGAGCCTGATGGGCCTCAACCAGAAAAGAAGTCTGCAAGCAGTAAGTCCTGCTGCTGGAAGATGTCAAAAGCAATTTTTGTTTTTACATACAATTTCCTTGATATTTTGTCTAGCTGTTACAGATCATAAAATGTTTTTTAGCTTAAAGGTCCCCTATTATACTGCTTTCCCTCAATATATTAGAGGTCTCAGACATATACAAAACATGTCTCTGAAGTGTTTGGCTGAAATACCAAGCAGATCATGCATTGTAGCATCCCATAATCCCCTCTGTTTCAGCCCTGTTTCAAAAGTGCTGATTCTCTGTCTGTTACTTTAGATGAAAATAAGGAGCCCCTCCCCACGCCCCTCTGACAGAGATTGGGTTAAAAATAACACAATAGTGCTCTAGGAGGAGATTCAGGTGATAAGGTGTGTGTGTGTGGGGGGGGGGGGTTACCTTAGTTGCTGATTGGCTAATGGTGACACAAGCCTAAAAATCTGATCAGCTCATTTTCAGACAGGTTTTTATATAAATGGGTCAGGACGAAAAGAGAGAGAGAATCTTTTTTCCTGAAACTTTCAGAATCTCCTTCCACAGAGGGGACACATTTTTATGTATAAAAGACATGAAAAAGTGGATTTTGCATAATATGTGACCTTTAATGTTTTCTTTTGAATCTTTCCTGACAGAGCTGTCTCTGTATAAACTGAAGCTGAAGCAGGAAGGGGCTCGCAGACCCTCCTCAACAGGCCAGACATCTAGTCAGGTAGGACAGGTATCACCTACTAACAGTTAACCTAATTGTGCTAGCTAAACACTATACGTGTGTCATGTGATTGAATAACCAGAGGGTGGCAGTGTTTTATCTATAAAAGAGCAAATGTATTTTTCTGGGTGAAGTCACGTGAGAGAAACTAAAACTGATACTGAGATAATTTTAGACTAAACGAAAGTAAAAGCTTTAGTGCAGAAACCTGCTGTCAACAGATTTGATTCGGTCACTTCCTCCCCCTCCTACTAGTGCTGTGTACCTGGACTCACATTCAGGTTCAGGTCCGGACTCAAGTCCAGAGGTTCAGGTTCAGGTCTGGACTTATGTCAAGATGTGTGAGTAACTAAAGTGAACTTATTGTGAGCTAATTATCAATTGAAAATAAACTCATAATCAACTCAAATTCAAACTCGTCAGGTTTATTGTGCCCCCTTCCAACTTGTGTCTACACCATGTCTTTTCTAGAACTCTACATGTGTTACTAACTACACAACACAACTACATACATAGTGATGTACATACAAGACTCAATATGCAAGACTACAAGTCTATGTGTTCTTGTTCAAGAACAACAGCATATTGACATTGTCTGGGTGAAGTGTTGCTCTTTCGGCAGACACTATATCACCATACATACAAAGGAGTTAGCTTAGCTACACTACCAAATATGGCAACCAGCATCCCACGCTGTCAGTGTCCACTATGTCTAAGCCAGCTTCCCTTGACGTCACACAGATCTCGCGAGCAGTTGCGATATTTTGCGAGACTTCGTGAGTTCAGTAATGGCCCCCATATCAGAAGCCAAAACAATGTTTTTCGTCTTTTCTCAGCGCAAATTTCTCGATCTATGGAAGGTTTTATATGGTTTAGAACACAAAGGAGAATATACGTAAGTACCGGTTCCTGACGTTCCGGTTTTAACCGGACTTGAACCGAAACTTTTTACAAGTCCAGTACCGGTTCGGCGTACCGGTACGCAGCACTACCTCCTACCATTATAATCCTCGACAGACATGTAAAGCGAAAGTAGTTCCAGGTCAGAACAAGCCAAATTTATGTAGAACGTAAAGCATTTACAATTTCAAGCACTTTATCTCAAATCCAAGCACCATTTCCCCAAAATTCAAGCCACTTTTCAAGTCATGAAAAACACCTCGTAAAAAAATTCAAAAGCATTTTTTCAAGGATTCAAGCCCACCCGTTCTTATAATGTATATATAAAACATATATTATATACGCGTATTATATATAAAACAGAAGTATTCATGTGTTCATAAGTCCCAATTTACAAATAAAATTCAGTCAATTAAAGTTGAACAACATTTAGTAGTTGCGTAAAAAAAAGGCGCCCAATACTGATTGTGCCTTTAGCAAACCCTTCCTGATTTTGTCTCCGTTGTATTTATAATCAGATCTGAGGGTTCTGTGTTAACGCGATAGCCGGCCAACAAAGTGAAGTAACCCTCTGGAGGAGCTGTGGGATACAGCGCTGTGTTTTTCATAAAGCATATTCAAGTATCACAGATTCATCTACCCACATTTGGATTGGATCTATGAGGCAAGATACCTCACCTTCCTAGTGAGGGCCCCAGCCCTTTGTTTTGTTTCTGCTGCGTGCTCACAAGGGGGGGAGTTTTTTTAACTGAAAGAAGTTTTCTGCTGCCAAGTAACCCATTTTTGTGAATTGCTAACTGACGTCATATTGTGTTGTGCGTGCCTTCGTTGGGGGTTGTCGGGCGGTTTTCTCTGTTGAATGATGTTTGTTGATTGAGGTATTCCCACACCATCACAGCAGGGCTGATTGTTGCGGCTGATCAAACTGTTTCTGGTCTCTGACGCTTGAGAGTCTTACAGTTCACAGCTGGTGCTCTCCAGTCCAGCAGACAGGCAGCTTCATGCTCCTGAAGTCCTGCATGGGGTCGGTTGGGGCTTACTCACGTCCAGCATCGTCTCAGGACTAGAGGACTGGGAGGCTGCAGCCGGTCGAGGACAGAGCTGCACAGCTCTCTCGTCTGCTGACAGGTTACAGCCCACTCAGGGCCCCTGAAGGAGACTGATTTGGAGGACAACAGTGTATTCAGAAGAAGCAGCTTGCTTATCTAATTAATCTGATTCACTAAATCAAGTTTAGATCTCGTACCACAGAGCTTTGAGGCTTTGACCACTGGCAGCCGAGCTCAGAAGAGCACTCCTCTGAAGGCAGGAGTATCTCTTTCAGCGTCAAACGATCGTCCAGCATCTTTCTCCTGATGGATCAGTAAGATTGAAGGGGCCCAGACGGCTGGACCACTGCAGCAGGTGCAGACAGATTATCTGTGGCAGAGAGCTTTCCTGCAACTCAGGGCGATCTGCTTGGATCTGCTTCGCCTCTCAGAGAACGATCATTCATTTCATTCAGGACAGCCTGGGAAACAGGTTGGATTAGCTTTCTCTCTTGCAACAGGATCCTATCTATCTTCTTCTTGATGTACTGGACTGCTTTCTGATTGGGTCGTCGCTGAAGCACTTCCTGTTTGTGT